AAAAAAAAAAAAGAATCCACTCAATATATATCACCTTACTTACTTCACCTTTATATTTTAAGTTGCCTGCTAGGAAAAAAGGAAGTCTGTGAATTTGCCAATTGTTTTTTTTTGAAGATTTATTTATTTATTTGAGAGAGAGAGAATCTCAAGCAGACTCCTACTGAGTGCAGAGCCCAATGCAGGGCTTGATCTCATGACCCTGAATTCATGACCTGAGCTGAAATCAAGAGTCAGACACTTAACCAACTGAACCAATTGGGCACCCCCGCCAATTGTTTTTTATATGTAGAGGCAGTACAAGAGAGTCTACCAAAGTCTTTTTTTTTTTTTTTAAGATTTTATTTATTCATTTGACACAGAGAGAGAGAGCACAAGCAGGGGGAGTGGCAGGCAGAGGCACAGGGAGAAGCAGGCTTCCTGCAGAGCAGGGGAAGCCCAATGTGGGACTCGATCCTAGGACCCTGGGATCATGACCTGAGCCTAAGGCAGTTGCCTAACCAACTGAGACACCCAGGCACCCGTGAGACTACCAAAGTCTTTAGTCTACTTTATATCCAAAGACTCTTTGGAAAGAAAAGTGGAATGATTAGAGATTAAGAGAAAAGATTAAGAGAAATAAGCAGAAATATGTTGAGATGGTCACAATTGCAAAGACCCTTTGCAATACCCTTTCATAGCTCCGAATAACAAAGAATGATACTGCTGAATCTAGTGTTCACTGGCAAAGACTTTAAAAATTTTTTTTGAGGGGGAGAGACATTTTAATGATTTACATAATCCAAAACAAATCTTAAATTATGGAAAGCCACATGTAGACAATATATATAAATGACTACACTGAGATTTCACTCAGGAGGTTTAAAAATATTTAAAAAATAAAAACTTTTGTTAATTATGTTGTAGTTCATTTATAAACAGTTTTCTCACCTGCGTGGCCTAGTCCTTGGGGACATCATTTCATTCCCAAGTATGTGGTACCGTCTTGCTTCATGCAAAAGCTGATAACACTCAGGAGAATTCTGGATCAATTGGTCCACCTCAACTGTTTGGACAAAGTAGTTGGGATGCAACAGGGGGAGTCTCACATGTGTCAGGAGCTCATGTAACAGTGGTCTTCTCAGATCAACAGCACGATAGACCCAACGCATGACGGCTTCAAAAACCATCTCCTCTTTACCAATAACAAGTTCATCACTACAAATATAATCAATAAGTTCATCTTTGTCAAGCTCAAGAAATTCTTCATGCTGTGACACATCTTCAAAAGTCTGTAATGCAAAATTCTTGCATTTTGTGAAGAGTGTTTTGAGAGAATGGGTATCAGCAAAGCGCTGGATTCCTAAGCAGTTACAAGGATCAAGTTGCTCCTCTAAGAACTTGGCACAAGCATCACGGAGAACACTAATCTGAAAGAGGCTTGATGTTTCAAAGAGATACTGTACATTCTCTGTAGTGATCTTTACCTTTCCAGTATAAACATACTGCAAAAAACATTCCATAGCTTCAGCTAAAATACCGTTGATCTCAACCAACATTTCTCGGCTTTCTCTGTGGTCATTACAAAACATAGCTCTGAAGTAGCTACTACAGGCTGAGAGAACAGCTCTATGGCAAGGAAATTCTTTGCCTTCCACACAAATGATGACGTCTGTGAATAAGCGGCTGTCTCGGAATTCATTGAATATCTGGAGTATGTTTTCAGCATGGGATGATCCTGAGGAGAAGTCAAAAAACTCATGGCCTGTCAAAGATTTAGGGTCCATTTCAAAAACTTTACGCTTAGTTGCTGGGGAATCACGCACCCCAAGATCCTCTCTGTTTAGTCTTCGTCCCAATATTAGTACCATTGTTACATCAGTTGACTATATAATTGTTGAGAAATGTTAAGGATCTTCTTTATGTGGCTAAAAGTAGAAAAAAAAAAGGAAAACATTTCAATATATAAAAAATTCAGCACTCAAACTACATAGTCTCATTTTGATGTAAACATTGCAACAAATTCATATACTTAATATATCTTATGTGGAGTAGAGAGTACTATCTCATTTTAATAAGAATTGATAAATAAAAATTTGCATTATGGATACAATCTGCCGTAGTACTCCTTAAGCCCACCCCCCCAAAGATATTATATACTTTTTGAATTACTAATAACCTCTGTCTCCCCTTTTACACAACTGGGTTTTATCTACTGACTGTAGAGTTAAGTCTGAATGCTGTAAGACCAAGAATTTGACTATATTCAGATTCCTAATATAAATGTTTATTACCTTAATATAATATTGTGAAAGAGGAATTCAGTTATATCTATCAGCAGCCTTTAAAAATATGTGTATTAGGGCACCTGGCTGGCTCAGTCAGTACAGGATGCAACTCTTGATCTTGTAGTTGTAAATTCGAGCCCCATGTTGGGTATAAAGATTACTTAAAAAAAAATGTGTATTGTTCGACCAGCAAGTCCATTTCTAGCAATCTATCCTAAGGAAATAATCTGGAGTATGTGGAAAGATTTATCTACAGAGATGTTCTATGCTCTATTAATAGAAAATACTTAAGGGCGCCTGGGTGGCTCAGTTGGTTAAGCGACTGCCTTCGGCTCAGGTCATGATCCTGGAGTCCCGGGATTGAGTCCCGCATCGGGCTCCCTGCTCCGCAGGGAGTCTGCTTCTCCCTCTGACCCTCCCCCCTCTCATGCTCTCTCTCTCTCATTCTCTCTCTCTCAAATAAATAAAAAAATTAAAAAAAAAATAGAAAATACTTAAAACAATCTAAATGCCCTACAATAGAAGATGAGTTAAACCATATTACATCTTAGTCTATGCAGCCATTTAAAATTATGTAGACTATTTAATGACACGGGGAAGTATTAGTCAGATAGTAAGTGAAAAGCGGATCGTAAAACATATGCTCAAAATACAAAAAATTATGTATCAGTGTATCTTAGGGATAGAAAAAAGGAGGCATATATGCCAAAATGTTAAGTGATTTATTTATCTTTTGTTTTCCTCTATTTCACCCAATTTCCACTATAAATATGTCGTATTTTGTTTTCAGATCTTTAAACACATCTATGCCCTTTTCCCTTTTGCTAATAAGAAACATCCCCAAACTTCTCTCAGAAATGAATATGAATAGGTAAACTAATGGATTGAGGCACTGGGCTATGGCTATCAATTCTCTTTAAGTTTTGATTTTTAAGGTGGTTCTTCCACAGCTACTCCCTTTTCACATCTCCATAAATTAATATGTGATCCAAAATGTATCTGTAACTGGCTTAAGAGCACTGAGAATAACTCTCATCTATTCCCATTCTCTCATAATCTTTTACACAATTCCTTCTAAAGGTCCCAGCTTCTTTCTGAAATATTTCAACAGTCAGACATCCAGGCCTAACTAAGCCTAAAGAATGCTTAAGAACATCAAAGATAACCCCCAAATGAAATGCTGTCCTACATTCACAAGCCACAAATAAAATGGACACTTGAGAGTTAACAATCTTAATTTAGAACTGTGTTTTGTGGGGCTCCTGTGAGTTAAGCCACTGACTCCAGGTTTCAGTTCAGATCATGATCTCATGGGTCTTGAGATTGAGCCAGGGCAGGCTCCATGCTCAGCAGGGAGTCTGCTTGAAAGATTCTCTCTTCCTGCCCCTCCCCTGCCCATGTGTGCCCACACTCGCACTCTGTCTCTAAAAATAAATCCTTTAAAAAACCCTGTATTTTGTATACCCATCACACATTAAACTGTACCCCATTTTTAGAATCCTTATGTGACATAGTAAGCTAGAAAATATGAACTATCAAAACCAAGAAGCAACTCGTTCTATTACATTCTTTCATATTCTGATTATTTTTTTTAAGATTTTATTTGAGAGTGCATGCGCACAAGTGGGGGGGGAGGGGCAGAGGGAGAGGGACAAGCAGAGTCCCCGCTGAGCAGGAAGCCCAATGAGGGGCTCATTCCCACGACCCTGGGATCATGACCTGAGCTGAAGGCAGACGCTTAATGACTGAGCCACCCAGGTGCCCCCTGATTTATTCTTATATTTTCCTTCTTTTCTCATCACTCTAATGACCCAGATACCCTAGTTACAATATTCACTAGATACTTCCAATTTTCATCAATTCCCTCACTGAGTGTATTTAATTTTGTCACTTCCATTTCTATCATCAACAAATATTTATTGTGTGCCTACCACTGTCAGGATACTGTGCTCAGCCTATGGTTTTCAGAGATGTAAGATATTACTGGATGTTGCTGTTGAGGGTTTTTTTTTTTTTAATATAGTTGAGACAAAGCATATTCACAAAAAGATAAATAGGAAGGTAGTATATGCGATATGATGCCACACTGGTATAGATACTACAGTTCCCACTTAAGTTTCTATTAAATGTTTTTTATCTCTTCATATAAATTAGCACTTAATCTTTCTGAAGTCCAGGTGTTAGGATTTTCCCTAGACAGATGTACAGCAGGCTATTCTAATTGTTAGGGAAAAGTACCTGGTTGTAATCACATTTAAGGACACCTAAATGTTTGCATGTACAAAATCCTTTCTCTTCCATTCCTCTCTTCATCTCTTAATTTTGCAGGTAAAGTCAGAAAAAAATTCAAGCAATTTTATTAGTCAAATGGAATAAAGATGCAAGTAAAACAAATACTTTTTTCATTTGGGATCACCGAGTGGGGATTCAGAGGCAGTATGCTAAGAGGGAAATTCCTGCTGTGTTCATGTGGATTGTGTGAATTTAAAAAGTCCTAAAATGACCGAAGAAGGGTCATTTTGGTTCCAAGAATTCTAACAAAAACTGAGGAAGTTCTTGGAAATCTACCAAGTAAGGCTGTAGGACTATTAAGTGCCAAATCTGTGTACTAATTGTGTATTAACTGCTTTGACGATACAATACCATGGGGGTTGTATTTCCTTATACACATTAAAAAACAAAACAGAACAACACTAATCTTTTTTTAAAAACTGCCATGTGCCTGGCACTTTCTAAATTCTCTCTCTCTTTTTTAAAGACTTATTTATTGGGGTGCCTGGATGGCTCAGTTGGTTAAGCAACCAACTCTTGATTTCGGCTCAGGTCATGATCTCAGGGTCATGAGATCCAGCCCCACAAGGGGCTCTGTGCTCAGCAGGCAGTCGGCTTGAGATTCTTTCCCTCTCCCTCTGCCCCTCCCCTGCTCTCTCCTTCTCAAATAAATTAAGTAAATATTTAAAACAATAAAAAGATTTATTTATTTATTTGAGGGGGGAGGGACAGAGAGAGAGAATCCTCAAGTGGACTTCCCTCAGTGCAGAGCCCAACACCAGGCTTGATTCGATGACCCATGAAATTACAACCCCAGCCGAAACCAAGAGTTGGATGCCCAACCCAGGTGCTCCAACTTTCTAAATTCTTCATACAGAATTAATTTAAACCTCCCAACAACCTTATGAAGTTGTTACTACAATTAACAAGAAAATTGTTTACAGCCTTAGGACTTTATGTAAAAGATTAAGAGAGATTTTTCTTTTCTTCTTTTTTTAAAGATTTTATTTATTTATTTGACACAGAGAGAGAGAGACAGCGAGAGAGGGAACACAAGCAGAGGAGTGGGAGAGGAAAGCAGGCTTCCCACCAAGCAGGGAGCCCGATGCGGGGCTGGATCCCAGGACCCTGTGAGCATGACCTGAGCCGAAGGCAGACGCTTAACGACTGAGCCACCCAGGCGCCCCAAGACAGATTTTTCTAAATAGGCAGGAACTATTTACAACGTAAGTGAAAGACTGACAGGGATAAACTTTACCCTCACTTCTAAGTTTAAGAAAACAAACAGAAAATTTTAAGTATTCAAATATATATGTCATTTATTTTTTAAATGTATAACAAAGTTTATAATATAATGAAACTGTTAGATAGCAGTGGAAACTCATGTAGAAGGCCTATTTAAATAAACACACAAGTAAAAATAAACCTAAGAGAATGCTTATGAATAACTGGTTTTAGGAGCAATGTCAATTATTGGATATTTAGTCAGTAAAATGAGCTTTTCTTAAATTTGAGGGAATATTTGTCTACACATATGTTATGGTCCAAGAAAGCCAGATTTTGAACTGTAATCTAATTATGTTTTGGAGGTTTTAAGTAACAGATCTGCATGAGAATAAAAATGTTCTTTTGTTAATTTTAATACCTAAATGAATAAAATTGCATGGGTTTAAAATATTTTACTATTAGTTTTATAATGTATCATCACAAACTAAAAAAAAGGGAGATGTTTCTTCCCATCTCTTTTGAGATTTTCCTGATGAGAGAGTTCATGTTTGCCTTACTAAAGGTCATTCAACTTCTTGGGTTATGGCTGCCCACACATGTGTGTGCCATCCACAAATACATGCACATATACATGGGTTAAAATTTAAAAATTCACTTATGGTACATATCATCACTTTTAAATTGCAAGCTCCCATACATGTGCAGTAGCACATATCTCAAATACACTTTTAATCTGAAGTTATCTCAATAATGGTTTAATACACAGAAACCTATCTCCCATAGATGAGAGATCACTACTGTGCCTGAATGCCAATTTTTTGTTGTTGAAACTGAAAAAAGTTCAAAGCATGTAATATCACAAGTGATAACCATTCAATTATGATAAACATAAACAAATATGATATGGAATATAACTTATTTTAATGCTTTACTAAGCTAAATTCAAATTATGGTTGAATCAGTCACAAGTCAGCTTTCAAAACAAGAATTTATCTTCAAATCAGCTTACTTAATTTCTTACTGCATTTCAGGTTCAAAAAATTCACAAATTATTGTTTTTGACTAGTGGTGTGATTACTGGCGTTACTGACAACAAAAATCTTCAACTTTATGCCTTTTCTGTTCTACATTTTTGTTCTCTCAGTGTTTAAAGATTTTTTATTTATTCACTTATTTTGGGGGGGGCTCATAAGCCAGGCGAGGGGTAGAAGGCAAGGAAGAGAGAGAATCCCAAGTAGACTGCCCTGAGCACAGAGACAGACGTAGGGCGCAATCCCACAGCCCCAAGATCACAATCCAGCCAAAATCAAGAGTCACATGTCCAACTGACTAAGCCACCCAGGTGCCCCTTCTCAGTGTTTAAATGAATGCAAAACAATGCAACAGAATACAAACAAAATGAAAAATAAAACAACATACTGCAAAAACTAAGAATTTCCCTTTTGGCTAAAAGGGACAAGAAAGAAAACAAATGAAAAGATACTCTGCTTTCTGTATCCAATAATTTTACTGTGTCTGGTATTTGTTCTCTGGTATCTCTATCTGATAAATTTGGAGATAGCAGATTGAGCAAGTTATGTATTAATATAAGGCTGATAAAACCTTTATAGGAGTTAAGGGTTTGTCTTATGTTATTTTCTGCCTCTTACTCTCATAGCTGGTTCCTTGACTGTTGACTAACAAGCGGTCTTCCACCGCTTTTGCCAGTGTAAAACTGAAAATCCTGGATTAGAACAGCTATAAAATCACCTGCTATTACAAAGTATTCAACAGCAACAAGATACCTGTTTACTGCTTTGTATGTAGATACGCTATCTCATAGATCTGGGCTATTTCTTTCCAAGCAGCTTTGGCCTGGCTTTTGTACATCCTCACTTTCCCTAGACTTTCTGAGAACTCGCCCATTAACCAATCTCCGCAACACAAAATGTAAATTTTGTCTATTGATGACAGGGTAAATAATTCACACAGGGGGGTCTTAGAAATAGGAGATGCATTTCAAAGTGCATCTTTTGGGCTTCCAGATGTAATTTACTAGCTTTTGTTCTCCCATTTTACACAAACGAAGTATTTTAACTAGTAATGGTTAAAAATATAGTTTAACCACATCTCAGAGTACAGTATCTAATATAGGTTCAAGATTTATAATAAACAAATTCATACACAATCAAGCAAACAAAACAAATTACAGATAGAATTCTTCTAAAAATTTAGCAAGTATCAAAGCATCATCATTCCCTTCAGGAAAACGTAAGCAACTAAGTAAGCATCTCTAGACAAAATAAGAGGGGAAAATGTTTGTTCCGAAGAAATACAATGACAAAGTTTTATCTAGATAAAGATAGCAAATGCAAGGGTGATCAGATTGTCATGTCAGCAACTGACTGCCAGTTGCATGATTTGTCTAGAAAAGCTAGTATCTTTCTTTCCCTCCCTCATTTCTTCAGGACCTTAATTCCTGAAGCGATACCCTCATTTGAAAGGAAGATTTTTTCTTAACACAAAGATTCTTCTGGTTAAAGGTACTCTAGGGTTTATTTCCAACTGCAGAACTCATGCATGTTGGTAGACCTAGTTCCTGATTGCTAGGTAGATTTAAAATTGTTTTTGGCCTATGTCTCAGAAAAATGAGGAGAGATAACTTATTTTAGTATCTCTAAGGCTAGAGAAAAATGTAGAAGAGGGACTGAGGATATGAGGGAGGAAGTGAAAAGAGTGGATACTTTATTTGGTAACAGAAATGACCATGACGGGGTACCTGGCTGGCTCAGGTGTTAAGTGTCTGCCTTCGGCTCAGGTCATGATCCTGGGGTCCTGGTATCCAGCCCAGCATCAGGCTCCCTGCTCCGCAGGAAGCCTGCTTCTCCCTCTCCCACTCCCCCCTGCTTGTGTTCCCTCTCTCACTGTGTATCTCTCTGTCAAATAAATAAATAAACCTTAAAAAAAAAGTGACTATGACATTGTTTTCTTTTATGATCTTGAGGATAGAACTGTTCCCCATTACTCTGATTGGCTTAAGTAATCCCTGGTTAAAGAAAGGAAAATGGTTTAGATTCTCTAATAACAATGTTTAGTTGTGCTATTGTTTTTTTTTTAAAGATTTATGTATTTGAGAGAGAGCGAGAGAGCCCACAAGTGGGAGGGGGAGAGGGAGAGGGAGAGAGAATCCCAAGCAGACTCTGCACTGAATGCAGAGCCTGACACACGGCTCGATCTCAATGACCCTGAGATCATGACCTGAGCCAAAACCACAGGTCAGACACTTAACCAACTGTACCACCCAGGCACCCCTTAGATACTTTATAAATACTATAAATATAATACCTTTTTAGCATTTGCTTGATCAAATCCCCAGTCAAAATATTTGTGTTGTTTTAATTTCCACACCTAAAGTAAATGGAGAACAGCAATATATTATCAGATACTAATCACTTAATGCATAGTTGGCATTATTTACTAATATGTTGAAAGAAGTTTTTAGACTTCAGTTTCTGACTTTTGCAGTTTTAAAAGTTTACTTTTGCATAGGAAATCATTACTGAATAACAATTCCTTAAAGCAAATTAATAACTTTATGCTCTTTTACATACAAATTAGTTTCCTTATTTGTCAACTTCCTTACTTGACAATATTATCTTGGAGTAAAGTTTCCTGAAAGATGAGTAAACAAAGATTATTGTCAACAGCAAGCTAATTGGTGGCACTGAGATGACAAAATATATATCCTGTGATAATTCTGCAATGGATATTTGAAGAGTGTCTGGTAATTGAGGTCTCATCTGAGTTTGGGGCCATTAAATAATTCTGAGTTGGTCTAGCAATACTACAAAAATTGACAGTTTAGCTATTATGTATTATAAAACTATGGAATCAATTTGAGAAAATCAGAAAATGTCTTACTAATTCAAGAAAAAAAATTTAGTTTTTAATCCTTATCTAAATTATCCATATAGAATCTCAAATATTTTAGAATATATAAATACATTATTATATATGCATTTTAATGCATTAATATATATTATTTCTTCTGCTTTGTTAAACCTTATAAACTTAGTACCTGTGGAAACCAACTAATTCAGCACAATTCTTTTTTTTTTCTTTTGGTGGATGGGAAGGAAAGGAATGCTTAAGAGAAAATACCAGAACCTTGAACTGTGCACGGAATGGCAATGGTAATTAAACATAAGCCATTCTGGTGCCTGGCCCAAACATCTACAAACAGAACTCATAATGTCTTAACAAGTGAAGGCAAATAAAAAAAGTTGATCGTGAAAACCAAGATAGGGACTACTGATTTTTTCCTATATATGTACACAAACACATATCCCTATGCCCTGATTTTGCTAAAATTGTGAAATAGAAGTTATTTTGAATGTTTCTTTACTCCTGGAAGTAAGTCTAACTTGTGTGTACCCTTGGTAAAGAATATTTCAACTTGGTCAAATTAGGAGATTGTTAATCCTAGCAAGTAAGTGTTTTTTCCCAGTGGACAATAAAATCCTGAGCCAATGTCGGTAACCAGGTCAACTAAAGAAATGTTTATTTTTCTGTCTGGTGCTGGGGTCACAAATACTGGATTCAGATGCAATTCAAGACGCTACAGGATTGGGGTGCCTGGTTGGCTCAGTCAGTAGAACATGTGACTCAATCTCTGGGTTGTGAGTTCGAGACCCACACTGGGTATAGAGTTTACTTAAATAAATAAATAGATAAACTTAAAAAAAAAAAAAGAACTCCAGAACTGATACTAAAATAGATTCAAATTTTTAATGTTTTGCTAGTAGAAAACAAAGACTGGAATAGATTTTCTCATGACTGACCTGGTCTAGAACTATTACCTTGAGGAGTAGGAGGGCAAGGCAATTCACTAGGGCATTTTGAGTTTTAAGGTAATACTTACCAACCTAATAGGTAAGGGCAAGGGACAGAGGAGGTCAGTGTACAAAGTCCAAAGGAGTTATAATATCAGAATTGATCTAGAATGTAGCTGTACTGCAACCAAGCTTAATTTTCCTTTAGAATGCAGGAATCCTATACAAAATAAAGAAATTACCATCAGTCTTAAAGATAGTGTGGATTAAGGAGAAGCTTAAAGACTAATACCAAATAGCAAAGGAAACCAACATTTTCACTATTGTGATTCCTACAACTAGTGATAGTGAACCGCCACATACTATGCTCTACACTACTCCATTTTCTCAAATTTAACTTTGAGTGCAGAAAACATAGCAGAGACAACCAGAAGACTAACCAAGAAGAGGTTTATCTTTTTTTTTTTTAAGATTTTATTTATTTATTTGACAGAGAGAGACACAGTGAGAGAGGGAACACAAGCAGGGGGAGTGGGAGAGGGAAAAGCAGGCTCCCCGCTGAGCATGGAGCCTGATGCGGGGCTTGATCCCAGGACCCTGAGATCATGACCTGAGCCGGAGGCAGACGCTCAATGACTGAGCCACCCAGGCACCCCAAGAAGAGGTTTATCTTTAAAGATATATAAAGCTATATAAAGTAAAGCAAAAGAAGGAAAGCCAGAAAAGTACAACATAGTAAGTCCATTATTTAAAAATGACTAGAAAATTATACTTAACATGGTACGACTACATAAAACCATGCAGTTTTTATACATTTTAAGTATTTTCACCTTATTTTCTCAAAAGCTAATTTATTTGAAACATTCTATTTAATGACTTTTTAAAAACTATAAATTTACACTCTTAAAAATTTCACTTTAAAGCTTTACTCTGGGAGCAGTGAGTGGTTCCTGAACCAAGTTTTACAAATGCAGTATTTAAAGTCCAGCCTTCAAGATGTTCTGTTCTTTTCCTTTGAGGGGAGGAAGAAGAGTTTATTTTACATAGCTAAATGAAAAATAATTTAAGAAATAGTAAATAAACAAGATGTTATTTTCAACATTTTAATTTTCTTAATGGAACCACCAAGAACATATTTACCCACGATCAGACAACAGAAACCAACTGACACTTAAATTTCTTTGCCTAGGATTATAGCAACTAATGATTATCCCTTGTTGACTAGAATTCAAATGGTCAATACATTCTGACTGTGATTAACAAGAGAAAAAAAATAAGTGTCTAATGGTGAAAAATTTAGCAGTGCCTAAACAATGTGTCAGATTTAACAATATGGTTCTATAACTAAACAATCTTAAATCACAGAACAAAAAAATCAAATATCTCCATTCAGTGTTTCTCTCCCTTGCCTTAAAACTTTTGATTACTAATATTCCCCTACCCACGAAGGAAAAAAAATGTTATCAAGCATCACACCTGCAATCAAGCTGCCTATTAAGCCTACTCACGCTTTTCACTAGACTTAACGTGTAAACTTAAGGTCATTTGGTTTTACCCTGCTAACATATTGAAGTATTTAATGCATGTTCTTTATTAAAATAAAATTAAATCTGCAAGGACACTACCCTCTCCTCTGCCACTCAAACAAGTTTGAGATCTAGTATTTCAGATGACTTCTCTATGTATAAAAATATCTTTGTCAGTGATTTTTATTTACCTAGCGGTGACACAAATTATTTACAGAAATAACTTTTAGAAACTATTGAGTAAAGAGTAAAGCCTAACCGCTTTTTTTTTTTTTTTAAGTAGGCTCCACACCCAGCATGGGGTCTAATGCGGGGCTTGAACTTACAACCCCAAGATAGAGACCTGAGTTGAAATCAAGAGTCAGACACTTAACCAACTGAGCCACCCAGGCGCCCCAGGCCTAATCACTTTTAAACATCCATTAGTAGACTTTAAGATGTGCCAAATGGTGAAAAATTATAAGCCCTTGGATGATGAATTTAGGCAGAGTGACAAATTCATCAATTAAAAGTTTAGCTATTGTGTTTTTAGTAGAAAGAATAAAGGTTTTAAAACATCAACAGTTGTCAGATGGCCACATTTTGTTTTAGTCACACAATTAGAATCATACAAAATGTATTTTTCATATAGTTAGATGGATATACTTATAAGGCTATTTTATTTACATTTTTCAGCATACAGTCCATACCTAAATATTTATTGAAAAAGGATCTCAAATCTCTAGGTAAAAGTATACACAAAAATAACTGCTGTCATTTATGTAATAGTATTTATTTTTCACAGGCTTGACTTTTGGATTTTAATAGCAGAAAAACAAGGGAGTTAAAGTTGTTTTTTTTTTTTTAAACAGCATTAAGGTTTTAGCAACTTGAACAAAAGCTAGGGAAGTTTAATTTAAAACTTATAACCTTAACTCAAAATATTTCTTTTTCCTGTTCTGAGACTAAGTTGCAGGCTCCGTCTAGATAAGCAGGCTTTTGACTGTTGATTTTAAAAAAAGGTTAGAGGTTTGCAGTTTGTACTTATTTAAATATGTTAAATGCCCTCAATGCACAAGTGATGAGACAGTTTGGGATCACAGAAGCTGCCCTTCTGGTGTAGTCATCTCCACTCAAATATCAAAAATATATTAAGAATGCATAACAAATGAGAACTGTTCATAATCAGTTCGTGCTTCACGCAGGGAACTCCATCTACCTTCTACAAATATGCATTAGGTCTTGGGTGAATTCCTACAAATTTACAGGAAAAGAAAATCTGATAAAGCCCAAGTACGCTATTAACTCATGAAATTAGGCAAATTTTATCTTCAACACATTACGGACTACAATGATTTTCTTGGGAGATTTTACTAATGTCCTCTTAATTTACAATTTTAAAACAACACATTTGAAATTCATTCAAATTTTGAATTACCACGGGGATTAATATATGAGTGTGCCACCGTCCTCTAAACAAGGAAAACAATTCATCTAAACCGGGGTATAGAAGACTCTTAACTTTTAGGAAAATACCCTTACGCTACTTTTCTTTTTTAAGAAAGAATTCTAATTTTAATCTTGGTCGACACGAGGCAGATTTTAAATCTATTTTACATTCCTAATAAAAATCAAACTCAGCTGGTGGACCTAAAAGGCTATAGCTGCAAATACTAAGGCGTAATTGTTAAAAAGCTGCTTGAGAAAAAGCTGCTTGAAACCAAGTGATTAATCCTAAAATCAACTGTGAATAGTCACTGCCTCAGGGGTGAGTGAGGCATCCTAAAATATAGCGTTAAGGTCCTTATTTCGCTACTTAAATCTTGTTTACAGAACCAGCAAGGGCAATTTCGTAAGAGGATCTCAGTAATAAAGCGACACTAGTTAAAGGCGGTTAATTTTCCGGTCTTCGAAAAGAGGGCCTTCCGCTGCTGTCCGAGAACTGCCTAAGGCTCTGGCAGAAGCTGCGGCCATCACCGAGTGACAGCAGGGTGGCTCGGCCTCGAGCTCCAGTCCTTCCGCGCGGGAACGCGCGCTTCTAGCTCCGGTCGGGCCACAGCAGCCCCAGAGGCGAGAGCGCGCGCTCCCGCGCGTCCTCCAGATCACCTTCAAGGGGGCGGGGGAGAACTGCTTGGGCATAGCGACTAGACACCCACCAATAAACACTCGGAACTTGCCCAGTCGTCCCGCCCGCAGTCCGCCGCAGGCGCCCAATCCCAGCTGTGGTAAATTTGCGCCCCGAGTGTCCAGAACTCGGGGGCGGGGACATTAGGAACTAAATTAAGAAACCTCGTCCTGGACTGGTAGGAAGGTGGGGAGGTTAGGCGGAGACTCGGCCGGCTGAAAGCCTGCGCCCCCGCCCGCCCCGACTCCCCGGGGACGGTCGCTCTAGGGCCGGGTTCCCGGCGCTGGCTCAGCCGCCATCCGTGGTAAACAAAGGCTCTCGGGGGGTGGGGGCGGGAGTAACGGTCAGGTGACGGTGCCTAGCACATTTCGCAACCGCTTTAATGGGGCTTCTCTGGCCCGATGCCCTGAGACCCACCTTGACCCCGTCAGTCCTCCCCAACAGGACCAACGGTTGCCCCCACCAAACGACACGACTTGACTTGAGACCTTCGCATTCTCAGTGCTTCCTTCGATTAAAAAAGAGCAGCGCCCGGTTCAAAGCCCATCGGCAACATGCGGGGCCCGTCTGCCCAGCCCCATCCACCAGCTGCCCCTGCCCCTGGGGCAGCGGGGTGACCCGCACCTGCTACCCCCAATCCCGGCGGCCATACTCCTCCCAACCCGCCCACGGCGGGCCGCGCCAGCAACGCCGCGGTTCCGGGGCGGTAGTGCCAGGAGGCAGGGGTGCCCTCCCTTCAGGACTGCCGTTACCGTGCCGGCACTGAAGACACCCCCCCCCCAGGGTGCCCTGGAGACCCCGCGCCCCAGACAGAGGCCGTGCAAGTCCCAGCCGCAATCTCTCCTCAGACCCCACGTCTAGCTCCGAGTCGGCCGACGCTGGCTTCCCTCTTGCAGACACCCCCATGGTCGCGACCTCAGTCGCCCCTCCGCCCCCGGTTCTAGCCGGTTCCTCGCCTCTCGGCTAGTTCCAGAGCTGTCATCCCCGGGTACCTCTCGGCGAAGGCTGGAAACGGCCAGCAGCCGCAGCCCCTGCCTTCCCTTTAGCGGCCGGCAGCGCAGCGCTCTCTGCAGCGCCGGCGTCTCCCTACAGCCACCAGTGTTTGCGGCAGCTCACAACAAAGGAAACATGTGACCGTCCGGGCCAAAACACTGAGCGTCAGCGACCCCTGGCCAATCCGAGTGAGCGCCCCCCACCCTGGGGCACCCTGGGATATGTAGTTGTCACTTCGGGGGCGCCCGCCCGGGCCACTTGGGTTTCCCGGTATAGGGCGGGTGTCGGTGCGGAGTGTGAGGAGACTCAATCCAGGGGTTGCTGATTCGGAAACACTTTGTTTTAGTTAGAGACGGGTTAGGGAAATCCACCCATGTTAGGAGCCTTAATGAGAAACCTGAGTCGTATGTTTATTGCCACGTCCCAAGGCAAAAGCACATTACCAAGAATTCTCAGAACCTTAGAGAGTGGGCCGAGGACATAGAGATCTTTTTATTTGACCCCTTGATACACAATCGGGAAATTTGAGGGCCTGACGGATGAAAGGCACTAGAACTCTGGTTGGTAGACAGCCCAGGGAAACCGCCTTTCCCTGCAAATCTGTTCATGTCAGTCATATCAAATCCTAGGTTACCTTTTAACTTTAAACTTACATCCAAGTGGAAAATGTTATCGCAAAGCCCTGTTTTCCCAGGCAGATAGATTCCTCAAAGCACATTATTCTAAGTTTCTTTGTTTCTGCAAATGTTTTTTTCAAGGATGAGTATACCTCCTGATTTTGAAACATTTAACTAGTTTTTGGCTTCTGATATTGGAATTATAACTTCTCTCTCTTCTATACTTTATGAATACAGCCATGCTCTTGTTAAATAATGGAACGTGTTCCAATGACCAGTGATGGAAATAATAAAGAAAGCATGTGTTCAGGACTTTAAAATATGCTTTTTAGGCCTCTTTTCCATCTCTTATTATAAACAAAAGAGCTCAGGGGTGCCTGGCTGGCGCAGTCGGAAAAGCAGGTGACTCTTGATGTCAGGGTGGTGAGTTCAACCCTCACCTTGGGTGCAGAGATTACTTAAAATAAATAAATAAAACTTAAAAAAAAGTGCCTGCCATTTATTAAGTTTATATATTAAGTATTTAATAAATATTGAATAATAGTAATATTATTTATTAAGCTCCAAACTTAGTGCTAAGCACTTTACATATGTAGTCCTCATAATAACCCTGCAAAATAAGTGTTGTTATCCCATATTACAGATGAAGAAACTTAGCTACAGAAAGGATAAAGAATTGTCCCCTGGTCGCTCAGTTATTGAGTGATGAAGATGAGGTTCACATATAAATACTAAAAACAGTTTTTATTTATATTAATATTTTATTAATATTAATTATATATAATTAATAATTATATATTAATATTAATTATATATAAATATTAATATTAAATTAATAATTTATATTAATATATAATTTTTAATTATCTTTCTAAAAAGCTTATTTACAAAGTTACATATTACAAGGCTAGTAGTGAGCGTGCCTGGGTGGCTCTGTCGGTTAAGCGTCTGCCTTCAGCTCAGGTCATCATCCCAGAGTCCTGGGATTGAGCCTCACGTTGGGCTCCCTGCACTGCGGCGGGGCCTGCTTCTCCCTCTCTCTCTGCCTGCCGCTTCCCCTGCTTGTGCTCTCTCTTTCTCTCTGTCAAATAAATAAATAAAACCTTAAAAAAAAAAACAAAAACAAGGCTAGTGGTGAAAAGCAGTCTCATCTCCCATCCTTCCCCACTCCTGATTCTCCAGAAGCAAACCACAATTATTTGAGTGATTCTGGTTATTTATATATATTTTTTCACATAATATGGTTATTTCCTATTAAGAAAGCTGTTATCCCTGTCCCCCATCCTTCCAATATTATAATTTCTAGTTCAATCATTATTTAATGTTTATGTTATTAAGACTGTGTATTTATTATTCAGTGCTGAGTCAAATAGTATACAGTTTCCTTTCATGTATGTTTTTTTTTTGTTTTTCCTAGAGTATGAAGCCATGGTCCTCACTGCCTTCATAAAGTCTCAACTTCCTGGGAATGCATACAAGATCCTTCTTTTTTTTTTTAAGAAAAAAAATTTTTAAGATTTTTTATTTATTGGGGCACCTGGGTGGCTCAGTCGGTTAAGCGGCTGCCTTCGGCTCGGGTCATGATCCCAGGGTCCTGGGATTGAGTCCCACATTGGGCTCCCTGCTCGGTGGGGAGCCTGCTTCTCCCTCTCCTTCTGTCTGCCGCTCTGCCTACTTGTGCTCTCTCTCTACCTCTGTTAAATAAATAAATAAAATAAATAAATAAATAAATAAATAAATAAAAGATTTTTTATATATTTACTTGCAAGACAGAGATAGTGACAGAGAACAGGAACAGGGATGAGAGGGAGCCCGATGTGGGGCTCGATCCCAGGACCCTGGGGTCATGACCTGAGTTGAAGGCAGACACTTCACCGACTGAGCCACCCAGGCACCCCACAAGATCCTTCTTGATGCACCCTGGGGTCCACCTGTGCAGCCTGAACGCCAAGCTTCAATGAACTACCCACTGTTGCCCAAAGGACTTGCTCTCCAGGCCATTCCCATCCATACCTATTCCCTATGCCTCTTATACCACCTCCATTCCTTCATCCTAATCACTGGCTAACTCCTGCTTTTCCTTCCAAGAATCCTGGGAAACTCTCCTTTCCTCCTCATTGCCCTCTGGACTAAGGATCTCCCCTCAGTCTTCCCACAGCAGCACTTCCTTACCTCCTTCTCAGCAGTTATCACACTAATTGTCCATGTTTATTTACATGTCTCTCTCAACTGAGATCCCTGAGGTCAGGGATCATGTCCTTTTTCTTTTTTAAGATTTTATTTTTAAGTAATCTCTACACCCAATGTGGGGCTTGAACTCACAACCCCAAGTCACACGCTCCACCAACTGAGCCAGCCAGGCACCCCAGGGACCATGTCTAATTAATTTTGTATCATAGCATCCCCTGTAGATGTTCAATATTTATCTGTTAACTGTTGGAATGATCTCTACTTCTTGAGGTTATGGGGACGGGAGTGAAAAAAAAAATTGCCACCATATGCCCTAGGATCCACTTGGATCTACATGAGGAGGTCCTCAGACTCTCTTGGGGCAGATGGGATGATCAATCACAGTTCTGAGAGTGGAGGAGATTGAGAGGACCCACAGAACAGGCAGCCCTGAAGACAGGCAGAGGCCTACTGGTGGGTGTGGGAGCTCCTCAGGCAGCCAGAATATAGGTAGTTTCAGCATTGGAGGGCCCTGGGAGTTAGACCTACCCCACAAATCAGTGAGCATGGCCGGGTGGCAGCCTTTTCCTCAGCTAGGACTGGAATAGAAGCAGAGCTGTTGAGTCCAGGGGGAATCTACTGAAGTTGAGGGTGATTAAGTTGTAACATGATTTATTTTCTGCAGTGTTTACAATCCAGGTTGGCTTAGTCATTTGAAGGAGGCAGCTACTTGGAGTAGGGAGATCAGAGGGTCTTCAGACCTATTTCCTCTCCTTTCAGGGATATAGCAAATTGTGCCATATTCTATTCTTGCAAATACCCCATGCCAGGCTGTGTTTTGCTCTCCGACGCATCCATGACTGCCTTAAATGTTTGAAGGTGGCCCATCATCCATAGTTCTTCCAGCCATTCTTTTTTTTCCCTCTCCAGCCTGCTCCCCTTCTTCATGCAGACAACTGTCAGGACATAGTAAATCATCAATGGAACACTTTCAGACCTTTCTGCCTCCCCTCTTGGCCTCTCACACTTAGTCCCCCTGCACTATTGCAGTAGAAATGTTGGTCATTGGGTAAGGCTCATCTCTTGTGCCACCTCTCCTATGGGGCTTCCTCTGATTCTTTCCTCTCTCCCTGACTTGCTGTGAGGCTGGGCATCTCTTTCAGGTTCTTTCATTTTCTTTCTTTCTTTCTTTCTTTCTTTCTTTCTTTCTTTCTTTCTTTCTTTCTTT